TAACAATACCAGAGGCTAAGAAGCAGCCTTAGAATGCCCAATTTTAAAACTGTTGTGGTCCTAGGTGTAAACAGCTCCTAATGGGAAGATACAAGGGGCAGTAGGCCAGCTTCAGGCACAAGCCTAATCAAGACGTATGGACCACGACCAAGGTAGACTGAGTGAAGTCAAAATATTCCGAACTCATTAACATCTAAGAGTTTTCTCCGTAAGGAAGAGTGCTTGCTTCTACTTGATTCCAATAGAAGCAAGAGATGCAAGGAACACCTGTGTTTGGAATGTGATATAGAAGCTGGAATATTTTGGCCCAATGTACCCAATTTCATCCAAGTAAATGTATGCAAAAACAGTATGTGCTATAGGTGGTGCCTCATACAAAAATGGCTGGCTTCTAAACTTCTTGCATTAATTTCTTTGAGATTTCGAGCCTATTTCCCATAGAAACAATCTGACATAACCTAGTTATGGTCCCAAGTCAGGCTACTGCAGAATGCCTAATTAGTACTACACAAAATATACCTAAAGTTTTAAAAGTATTGGCCTGAGTTCTGGATCTGAAAATCAGCGATGATAGAGAAGAGAATGAAGAAAGAGACAAAAAATATCTTGCCCCTCATCACCCTTCCCATCATAGCCACATTATGAAAGAGGAGACTCACTGCTCTCAAGTTATCCTTGCCCTTCTTACTACAATAACCTGCCCAAATATATTCTTCAAGAATAATCCACACTATAAAAGTATCTACTGCTCATCGCCCTCAATCATAACTTTCTTACTTGTCTCTAGAAGGTGTTAAGAAAGTCATCTGAGTACTCACAGTAAAGTGTCAATGGATGAATTGTCCGTTCATTTATAGACACAAGACATTCACATACACGGCCAAACACATGGGCACATGCAATTGTATTATCTGTTATCTGGGCATCATTTTCGAAGCCAAAAATATGAGAGAGAGACATTAAAAGGGCAAGGTTTCTGCTCCCATGAAGCCTACATTTCAGTGGGGAGAGGTAGACAATAACATTCAAAAATAAACCAAAAAATCCAGAAGGTAATAAAGACTCTATGGAAAAAGGGTGATATAACACAAATGAATTGTTTGAACCACTTCACATTGTGTGGTTAGGAAAGGTCTCTTCGAGGAAGTGATATTTAGGATGAACTATAATTGAAGACAAAGAACCAGTCTTGGGTAAATGGAGGGGGAAGAGCATTTTTGACAGCTAGTGCAACCTTGAGAAAGGAACGAACTTGATGTGTGGAGGACAATAAAAAGGCCAGTGGGGCTGAAGAACAAGGAGGAAAACAATGGAAAGACAGGCAAGGGCCAAGTCACATAGGGCTTTCTTTGTAAGCCAGGAGGATACTTTTGAAGTTTATCTTCAGTGAAGTAGGAAGCCCTTGGAAGATGGTAAGCAGATATGCGGTCTGATTGCCATCTTAAAACAATCCCTAGAAGCATGGAGACAAGAAGCTACTGTAGGAGTCAGAGAGAATGGCCTGTCTGGACTTGGTTATAGAGAACTAAGTGGTCCCATCATGATGTACCGTAGTGGTAAGATCTGCAGGACCTAAGGATGGCTTGACTGTGGGGACAAGGAAAAAGAAATCAAGGACACTGGGTAGATGATGATACTGTTTTCCTGAAAAAAGGCAAGATCTGGAAGGAATAGGTTTGGCTGAAGGATAAGGCAGCTGGGCAGTGGAAATAAAGCCGTTCCACTCTGCACATAGTGATTTGGAGCCCCAACTTCCACATCCAGCGTCAATATAGGGAGGGCAGTTGGCATATGAATCTAGAACTCAGGAAGGTGGAGACTGGAGATACACGTTTGGTAATCATTGGCACGTTGGCGGCATTTAAGCCATGGAGACTGGTGTGATGGGCCCAGATGGGGAAGGGGGAACTGGAGACTAGGCTCTGCCTATGCCACCATTTAGAGGTGGGAGAAGACTATTCAGGAAGCCCCTCTTCTCTGGAAAAGAAGGCTCTTGCTCTGCTAGCAGGTGTGAGTCCTTAAGGTCATCTCAGCATACCTAATGTTGAGGGGGAGTGCAGACCCTCAGGGGTCCTCCTCTGCCAATAGGCTAGAATGAATATTTGATACCAGTGGCATGAGGGAGAAGCTCTTTTCCCCCCATAGAGTTTGAAAAATATGATAAAAATATAAAAAAAAAAACAAAACAACTTTGAGATATTTAAATACTTAATCCTGCTTAGGGCAGGCCCCCAAGCTGAGAGTTCAAGGGTCTCACCACAAAGAGGCAAGCAGCCCATCGAACACTAGCCGGGAACCCTTCTGCTTTAGGAAAAGTGTCAAGACATCAACCTAGAGAAAAAGTGGGGTCTCAGGACCAGTGCCGATTAATGGTACGCTTTCGGTGAAAAGAATTAGTCTCTCCTTTATTCTTCTACCTGTACCAACTGGGCTTTGTCATCTGGGAACAATAGCATCTTTTTTTTTTTTTTTTTTTTTTTTAAGGAGTCAGAAGCTATAATAAGGCATTCTCTGAATCATCAGGGTTGAAGAATCAAGTCAGAAATATTATGTTTGCTAAGCATCTCGTTCAATTTGCACAGCTTTTTTTGGGGGGGGGAATGTCTGTTTATATAAATATGATGAGATTACCTGTGAATACATTGTGTGGGGAGCATGCTGCGCAGCTAATATTGCAGCAAATTACAGGAATTCTCCAGGTAGCAGAACGAAGGAATCTGTTTTCCGATGGGAAGAATTTTTGGCGGTGAAGGGAAACCGTTCTGACAGCTAATGATTCTGTTGGATTCTCCCCAACAGGCTTTCTTACCTCTTGATGCCCCTACCTGGGTTCTGAGCTGGTTTTAAGTGGCAGAACAATGACCCTTCCAAACACTGAGGTTTAGTGTCATCCACATTTCACGTTCCAGAAACAACAACAACAAAAAAACTTAATGATATGGTATGGCTGCCACACTTTTCAAGAGTTTAAAACAGGAGAGGCACACAAGCACGTTGGAAGACTGGTATATAGGGAAAGGAGCCAGTTTTGAGGTATTGAAATGAGCTGGGAGATTTTTAAAAAATGTAAATATTTAGAAACAAGGATTTGACTTAGTAAAATCATTTCTTCTGATCCTTTTGAAAACAGGAGATGCATTTGGTAGGACTACCGGCTGCGTTTCCAGAGAGGTAAGCTGATTTTGAGTAATACTGACGAGAGGCCTAAGTTTTGCTTTCGTTATCCTAATTTGCGCATATTCTCCTCGAGGGTTAAACCCAGGGCCAACAGTGCGTGCTAACCTGAGCACCAGCCTTAGGGAGAGTAGATTCCAAGGCATAGTTTCCTATAGTAACCTGAGATAGAGCAACGGATAGCCGTTATGTTTTGTTCCTTTTGGTACAGTTCTCTAAACAGAACAACTCGCAATAAAGAATATTTTAAGGTTCTCCTCCTGCTTGCTAAATTTCTGGTTATTTTCGGGAAAAAATTCAAAGTAAAGATCAAAATGGAAACTGCTAGAAACAGCTGGGGTTGAGAGGGTGTCTGCTTCCTGCCCCCCCCCACCCCCCACCCCCGAGGATCAGCAGTCAAATGGAAGTCTGCATGGTCCTGCTCCATGGCAGGAGTGAAAGTACCCCCTAGATCCTCTGGCGCCTCCATCATCTCAGTTGGACACCGGAACTACACCGGACCCCTTGATCAGGACTCCCAAATGGTCCATCGGTTGGATAATACCATGTGTAATATAGCTCACCAGTATAAATCTGGACAGTTTATTCCCGGTTACTCAAAGATGAATTGTCCAAACTTACACCGGTCAGACCGTCCTCAGCCATTCATAAATAACTAATTAACAAAAGCTGCTGTTTGAATCAAATTCCTTCTGTTTCAAATGTTTTAGTAGATGCATAATTTATAGGTGTCTTCTCCAGTCCGTACCACAATTCTGCAAGTTATATAGGACTCTCCCAATTTTACAAATGAAGGCTCAGAGACTTGTCCACAGTCACTGAGATGATAAATGTCGGAGTGCAGAAGAACAGCTAGTAACTTCCAGTGAGGAGATATATACATGATTTAAGCTGTACTTGTTTTCAGACTCAAAACCAAAAGCCAGGGTTAGCTGTATATCTGCCATGATGTCAACTAGTGCTGGGGACTGGATCCAGAACTTCAGTTACAGTAGGCTCTGATGTGCACCAGAATCACCTGTGAACTTAAAACACACATTGTCTGGGCCTATCCTCCAGATCTTCTGACTCCTCAGGTTGACGGTAGGTTCAGGGTATTTGCATTGTTTTAAACAGGCTCCCAGGTAATTTTGATGCTCACCAAAGTTTGAAAATTACTGCTGTCAATGTTAAGTTTGGGAGGAGGATTTCTTAGAAGTCTGAGCAAATATAATGAACTACAGTTGTAGGTGGGAAGAAAAATTCAGCTTATAAGGAATGCATGAAGGGACATCCACGAAATGTGTAGCTGCCCTGCTCGCTTTGGCCAGAATTACTTTTTCCCCGTCCTGCTCAATGTCGACTTTTTTTGTAAACTTATTCCCATTAACATTTGGGTCAAGAGAATATTGTATCAGGTTTTCAGTAGGTATTTATCTCAGGTGTCCAACCATACAGTTTCATGGAAATTATCCAAACATTAGTAAATATCGAAAAGACACATTTTGTGCTTGAAGATGATCCTGTAATTTCGTGTTTTTGAAAGTGCTAATTGTAATGGGAAGCTGATCTATCGATCTATCCATCAAACCAATGTGCTCTCTCCACGCAGGCCAGGCAGTCCCTCTGGGAATGCTTTCCTGTCACCATGATGGTACTGGCCAGCGTTCTAACCTTGAAAACTGCCATGACAGTTTTCTGGCAGTGACATTATTTATATCTCTGGGCTCTTGTCTTGCATAAGCCTGGTTTGTTAGCCCAGTCCTTGAAATTGTGAGAAAGAAAAGGTCGGGAAGGCACATGGGCTTCCACGTCTGGGGGAAATCATATACGAATGCATTCTCTACCTGGTACCGAAGTTCCAAGCGCGACGAACACTACCGCAGTCACAGAATCTTTCAGGCCAATGGTGCATCCGAAGTGGGAAGCCAGGTCTCCAATGAAAGCTGTCAGTATGCCGATCATGAGGATGGAGACAATGAAACAGGCCCAGCCATTCCAGTATTCTGTAGGGGGGACGAAGGCGAAGAGGACCTTCCAGAACACAGTCAGGAAATGCATCACATAATCGAAACAGGAGGGTAGCTTCTCCTCCCCACATTCATCGTCGTCGTCATCTTCCCCTGGAGATAGGAATGAAGCACATTTCATCACAACCTGCACTAATTGGGCTCTTCCTCTCTTCAACTGCCTCCTTCCTAGGCCTGAGTAACCAGGAGGTCATTAGAGGTGACTGAAGCTTAGGGTTTTCCAAGAGCCAATCATAATTAGTCAATTAATTATTAAACTACTGACATACCCCCTCACAGTGGTTCACCAGTCACTGGCAAATACTTAAGCCCCACCCAGTTCTGGTTATACTCAATCAACACACCCTTTCTACTGTCCTATCACCTTCAGAGAAATGAAAAGAATTTCTTCCAACAGACTGGGAAGCCCTGTGCCAGGCTCAGAAAGAAGCTTCTTTTGATGCAGGGTAACTACGACAGAGCCCTTTGGCCAAAGTTCTTTCCTTCCAGCTTGAAGGCTGGCTCTGGAGATCCATGGTGAAATAATCACCTACAGGACAGTGTTCAAACAAGGCCCTTAATCACAGCTCTGTGCCCTACACATTTCTTCAGCTTTATCTCTTGCAATTACTTCAAACTCAAACTTCATCCTCGCCAAATGGAATCATCTGCATTTGTTTTCAAACCATATGTACTTTCTCCAACTTTTGTCCTTTAGAACTAAATGTGTTTGGCATGTCCTAATCCCTCCCTCCCTACCCTTCCCCACTCATCCCTTAAAACTCACTTCCTTTGTGAAACCTCTCATGGCCCCCTTGCCCTCCAGCCAGTACTTCCAAACCACCCCCCCCCCCTCACCCCGACACTTGTGACACTAGATCAGGGTTCTCAAACTGTGGTCCCTCAGCCAGCAATATCAGCATCACCAGAGAACTTGTTAGAAAAGCAAATTCCTGGCCCTGCAGAATCAGAAACTAGAGGACTGGGGATGGAGTGGAAGGGGGGTGGCACAGGCGATTTTGATGCACACTCAACAACCAGTCTCTCTCCAGACTGTCCATTCACTTTCTTTTCCAGTTGACTGTGAGCCTGTCGAGGGCAGGAGTTTGTTCATTTTTGTGTCCCTAGTGTTTGGTCCCATCTCCATCATCTGTGATAAGCTGGCTAAGTGCTTGTTAAATGAAGTAATGCATGCATGAATTTCCACTGACTTTTTATAACTACTTAATTACATAATATATACACACACTGCACAATTCTGCCAATTACATCCTACAATCAGTGCATAAAGAAATGCACCAAGCTTATTATTTAAAGGAACCAGGAAATCAATAATAGCATTCTAAAACAGACTTCTTCTAGAATGGGATACAGTTCTCATTCACATGTTTGAAAATAGGGATACTGAATGTCAACTCTTCTTGAAGTGGTGGCCAATATAATTTCATGTGTTTTGTGCCATTTTGGGAAGAACTCCTTGAGGACTTTGTTCATCCCCAACTGCCACAAATCTTGTCACCAAAGATCCCCTTTGTCCAACTAATGCAGTTGGCAGCAGCAGGTGAGGCTGTCAGACTTCCCATCTGACTGTGTGACCAGAGACTACCAGAAAGGAGCAAATGCGTGTGCACTCTGTGAGGCACTCCGGTGGTGAAGCCATCTGGTGCAGATCATTACTGGGAAAACCCTTACAGCAGAGGAGCTTTGAGGGAAGAGGGTGTCTCACAAAACACGAGAAGAAAGTCTCCATTTGTCACCTGTCACCTCACAGAAGAGAGACGAGGCAATGGCTTGCTCTCTCTTCGATGAGCACACGCTCATCATACAAACAACCTTTGGGGATCTGTGGAGAAAACAGACTCCCCTTGGAGGCTTTGGACCATCTCCAACAAAGTGTTGGGAGGAAGCTCCCAGCAGATGAATGGAATCACCTTTGGAGACTAGGTGGGTAGGTAACTCAAGTCAACCAGCGGGTTGTAAAATGTGTGACTAACTAGAGTAAGAAAGCATTATTAACCATGTTAAAGTCACTGAAGGAGGCCCTTGGACTAGGGTGGCTCTAATGTTTTGGTAATCTACGTAAGCAAATCAAAACCTAAACCAGATCAATTTCCATAAATGCAGTCTTGTCTGAGAAAACAATTTTAGAGCAACCAATCACAGGCGGCCACCTGGGCTTTACCAAATTAGGCAACCACTTAAGCGACAGCCAATCAAGTAATTTCCTTGCTTTGCTTCCTCCTCTGCTGTATAAAGGCCTTTCCCCTAGCTCCTATTGGCTGAGTGCCCCTAAACCACTTTGGGTTGGCTCTGCCTGATTCCAATACATACTTGCTCCAATAAACTCCTGAAATTTTTAATGTGCCTCAGTTTATCTTTTAACACCCATCTCCTTCAGTGTCATGTTGTACACTGATTACATATTTGTAACATCTTGCCTGAAAGGAGATGATTTTAAATAAAAGCACATGTTATGGGCTGAATTATCTCCCCCAGATTTTTAAGGTGAAGCCCTAAGGTCAGAGTGTGGACTGTATTTGGAAATAGGGCCTTTAAGAGATGGCTAAGTTAAAATGAGGCTGTTAGGGTGCCCTCATCTAATCTAATCAGACTGGTATCCTTTTAAGAGGAGGATATTGGGACATACACCAGGGATGCACGCGAATAAAGACGACCATGTGAAGGCACAGCAAGAAGGCTGGGCTGCCCCCAGTCAAGGAGAGAAGCCCCAGGAGAAACCAAACCCACCAACACTTTGGTCTTGGACATTTATCTTCCAGAACTGTGAGAAAAGAAATTTCTGTTGTTTAAGCTACCCAGGCTGTGGTCTTTTGTTACAGCAGCCCTGGCAAACTAATATAGTCCCTTCGGAAGCCTCCTGGGTCATGACACTGATATTTAAGGACAACCACTCAGTGTCTCCATTACCCACTCCTTTCTTATTTGCTTATCCATTTCTTCTTTTTTCCCCTCTAACTCTTCTTCTCATTTCCCTTTCACCCTATGCTTTGGGTCCAGAAGAACTCACTGTGAGAGCAGCTGTTGTTAGGGCTTGTTGGAGAGAAAGAGGAAGAAGAGAATCCTGTTAATTTCTCCAACTCCTCTTCTTCCCAACTCCCCATCCCAAAGATGGGAGAGTTGCAAAAATACCCCAGGGAAGCTCAGGAAAAACACTGGAGTTTCTGGTTATATTTATTTTGTATATGATCCTCTATATTTTTGGACAGTTTGTAATTTCATAGGATATATGATTAAAGCAGTTTGGAAAACATGGATTTTAATTATTTATAGAAACATTATTCTGCCTCTAATGCTACAAAATTACTTAATTTGGGGTGTCTAAGACTCATTATGAAGAAAAAGCAAATAGTGAAGCTTCTCTGAAGAAATGACACTTGTAAATGGAGAGTAGACATTATACTTGTCTTCAGGATGGCAATAATAACACCTTTCCCATGAGGGATGTGCAGGGGAGTAATTAGATCATCTCTTCAAAGTGAGGGTATTTCAAGATAATGATTATCATGGTAGTTATCATTATTTTCCCACACTTGGGATTGTACTGCGTTTCCTTGCCATTATTTAATTGATTAGTCAACATGCTGGGTCCTAAGGTTACTTTCTAGGCTTTTAGAAACAAAATTGAATCTTGTCCTCTGGAATTATCTTCATGATGTATAAGTGTGCAATGCAAAATAAGTGTGTGCGTGTATGAGAGGGACAGAGAGAGAAATTTCCTTCTGTAGGTCTCCAGCATTACAAGGTATCTGAAATATATATATATATATATATATACACACACACATATATATGTGTATATATGCACATATATGTATTTATACACATATATACATATATAAAACATACACGTAAATGTATATAAAACGTGTGTGTGTGTGTGTGTGTGTATATATATATATATATTTTTTTTTTTTTAAGAGCGAGAACATGAGCAAGGAGCAGAGAGAGGGAGAGAGAGAATCCCAAGGAGGATCTGCACTGTATGGAGCCCAATGCGGGACTTGAACCCATGAACTGTGAGATCATGACCTGAACCAAAGTCAGACGCTTAACCAACCGAGCCACCCAGGCACCCTGGTGTCTGAAATATTTTAACACATAAATCTGGAATGGGAGGGCCCATCTGTTTTATAGCATTTCTAAGTAGAAGTGCCTTCCCATCCTCCTTCCTGGGATCACACTACTCTTTATAAATTTTAATCTCCAACTCAGATGCCTAAATATTAAAAATGACCACTAACTTCCATGTATGAAGCACAATTACCCTGTCATGGAGAAGGAAAAATATGATGTTTGTCCATCACCACCAGGACTGAGAAGTTTGTTTCCTGCAAAGAGCAGTGGAACATTAAAAAACAAAAAAACACCTGGAACATCTTTTCTGTGATGGCAAAAGTGATAGCAATGCTCCAGTTCTGTATGTTTGCCAGCTTAGGCTTACTGGAGGCTACATAATTCTTTCAAGTCCTTCCTCTGCATTAACAAAGAAACAAGCAGTTTGGTGGGTTCCCTTTTATAGGATCCCAAGCAAAGGATCTTCTTATGTTAGAATCCTCCTTTTCAGCTTTATGGATTCCACTAATGGAAAGATAACAAGCTATATTCGATTAATCCTTCCCATGGCCCTTCAAATGATTTCCTTGAGACCTGCTGGACTTCCTAAATATAGCTACAAAAATAGCCAAATCATTAAAACCACAGAGAAGAGAGCATCAGTTCAACTACTGACATAACAGAACTTGAACTGACCCTGCTCTGGAGCATGGGAACAAGGTAGCATTAGCATGATTGATCATGATAGAGAATCCTCACCTTGGGACCTGCAGATAACTTAGCATCTAATGTAGACCAGGTGTTAGAGTGCATCCCTCCCAAGGTACCCAGGATTTGGCCTCGGTAAGGGCTTTATCAACCAGAAAAAGAGGTCTCTGGGGTATTGGGGACACTTAGGTCAGAAGACTTAAGACAATTTCTAATTCTCATAGCTTCTTTGGGAGCAAGACTTGACCTTCCTGAGCCTCAGTTCCTTATCAGTCAAATAAGTTTCTTAACTCCGACATTACAGATCTGTGGTAAGGACTGGAAGAGGAAAT